AGTCTTAGGACCTTCTGCAGCACGGCGGTGTCTCTAATGAGGTAGCGGAGCGACCGCAACCCTGCAGCACGCACTTCCTTAGCCTCATTCAGTAGAGCTAGTCGCAGACTAGGGGTTTAAAAATCAAACACTTAGATGAGTCCCAAATTGCAAAATGGACAGGAGAACATAAGATCTACTATCACGTTACAAACTATTGTTATTTGCTGAATTCTTTCATAAACATGATGATTTCTGCTTTTTAAAACTCGATCAAATCAATGTTTCAAAACTAAAACATCCCAACGGATTAGCCACAGGGCATGACTTACAAATGATTTCACTTGGCTGCGTAAATAACAAGCCAATGAATTGGAAAACACATGTCGATAAAAAGAACACAGTGTACAATACGTGCTGGTTGCAGACAACACTTACCAAATGATGATTTCTTCGTACGTAAACCCAAAGTTTTCCTCACGGTGGCTAATGCTGCATAGCAGCTAGAACACAAAGATAGGACAAAAAAACAAAACATAAATGAATTGGTTCATACAAGGAATGTATTAACAGTTAAACAATTAAACCCCCCCAACTGCTAGATAGAAGGGGGGAGGCGCAGACACTACCAGGCGAGCTTCCAGGAAGCTACTTTATGTTTATGGTGGTAAGATTTCTAAAAATGTCAATATATAGCCTTACATACAATACTGCAATATATTGAATCATAACCCCATATTGTGATGAGTACTGTTTCACCAAATTCTTGCCAATACACAGCCCTAATAGAAAGTCAGAAAATGGTGAAAAATGTTAATCACTGTTTCCCAAAGCTAAGACGTTTTCCGTCATAGAGGACTAAAGAAACCAGAAAATACTCATTTTATCTCAAAACAGATTATCAAAATAGTTGGCAATTAATTAAATAGTTGACAACTAATCGTTGCAGCTCTAATTCTGCATGGCTTGGGTCAAGGGCAGAAGTAAGCCTAGCACACGCGTTATGGTAGAACTAGGGCAAGGACAAGGGAGCTCAGCAACTCCAAAATGGCATCATCCTTCATCTGAGAGGCTTACAGTTCAACTTCGTTTGAGGCAAAAAAGCATCAAACCGTGACTATCCAAACTAACAAACAGCACAACACTTTCCTGCAGGGTGCTGCAGGAGCCATGCAGGTGTTTCTGTTGTATTTTTCCACTTGTCTGTTACATGCTGACTGTATGATGTTATGCTCACTGGTGGTAGATGAAGGTTGTAATTACAAAGCGTTCAGCAGTGGGTGTTCACTTGGGTCGCCTCCTCGAACCATTTGTTGTTTATGAGTGCGCTTGTATGGATATGTGTGTTGGATATATGAAAAGAGAGGGCGATAACAAGAAGGAAGCAATAGGTCGATTAATTCTGTTGTGTTTTCCGACTATTTGCTCCTGTTTTCTGCACCCTACTGGACCTGGCACTGAAACCTGTTTTCAGCATGAATTGCCACTTCTAGCAGTTCCCTCACCACAGGTCCTCCATCATTATCAGAGGCCCACACACAGCTGGTGTATACAAGATTCAAAGTGTATGTAAAAGCAGTAAGTCTGTGTCAACCGGCAGGCCAAAGCTAACAACAGTCTGAAATTCCCTGCGCAAAACAATGAGCTCCTTGGGCTGGAAGGATGCTGCCATTTTGTAAGTGCCACCTTTCTTATAGGCACCCTCACGCTACCGACAACTCAGTGCTACTCCATCACAGTCCTCCTGATGCAGCATCAGCAGGGGAGTCGATGGGGGATGGTGGTTTTCGTGTGAATTTCTCCTTAAACCTCGTTTCTGCTTTATCATAAACCACAGAGCAGATCGGGAGGAGAGCAGGATGGGACGGGTGACGAGGGGCACGGTGAGTAGGGGGTTGTTTTAAACCAGCTGTGATGTCAGAGCCCAAGCAGGCGAGAGGAGGGGAGAGAGGAGACGGGTAGAGGGGCATGTGACACTCTCTGGGGTGGGGGGGGGGGGGGGAGATTAGGTCACCCTCACTGTTCTGGAACCCTTATAAGGAATCAGAAGACAGACAGACACACACGTCATGGCTATTAACCTCCTGTAAGTTGTAAACAAGAGAGTTAGGTGTGAGGATTACAGACACACAACCCAGGCCCACACTCGGCCCGCTACGGTGCCAACACTCACTGGCTGCACGGCCACCGGGCTACTGGTCAAAATAAGCCAATGGCGGTCAGACTTGGTTTAAGGCAGCGGGGTCGCTCAACAGAAATCAGCAAACGTCTGAGCAGGAATCAGTATTCCCTGTTTAAAATAACAGGAAGGCTGGAGACTATGCCAGCATGTGCCGGGCAGAAGGCAGACAAAAACCTGCTGGGGAGGTCACTAGTCCATCACAGGATTATATGTGAAAATAACTTCCATCTGTACTTGTTTTTAAAAAGCATTTGAAGAGACTTCTCTATCCGCGCTGATACTGCACAATTCTTCCTCCTTTTTTTTCATCTGCAAACAATAAATCCGTGCATCACAGCCGTCAGCTGCTGATAAGTGGGACAGACACAGCCCACTTAGTCTCGGCATTTTAAACCCTCTGTTGTGATGTCTGCCTACCGTCCACGATCACCTGATTATGTTTCACTTTTAAAACCTGAACACACACTTTGGTGTTGCTTTCGTTGAGGTGAGAAATTTGGATCTACATCATAGAGTTTGTGCTGGGAAACCTTTATAGCTAATAGTTATAGTTTATCATCCATGCAGAGATTTTACAAATGAGGGTGTCTGAGGTTAATAAGAGTGATAACCAGACATCAGAAATCTCAGGTTTTCGAAGTCAGAGTGCTGCTCTTGATGCAGGTTCGGTCAGAGTACTTTTCGCATCCCTACAGTTCCTGTTACATTCACCGTCAGCGTCACAGGCACAGCCAGGCCTGCTGGCAGCGACACCCAAGAGAGGAGGATCAAAGAGGTCGGCGGTGACACGACAGAGGAGGGGGGAGCACAGCCACTCAATCTTTTACAGATACATGAACAGTGAGTCAACAGTCTTGAAAAGAAGAAGATAACAATAGCAACTTGGGCACATTCCCTATCTCTCTACCTAAAAACCACTGGAGTAAAAGCATCATAACTTGACAGTGTTACCTTTATGAAGTTGTTCAGGTGGCCCAATTTTCGCATGTTACTGACTCCGTGTGGTTTGGCCACATTTTGAAGGATTTCACGGAAGTTTTCTGACGGTTCTGCAGGAGAAAGAAAAGGAAATACAATGTAACCAAGACGAGCATTAAGCCATATTGCCATAATATCAGACGATGAACCGTAATTGATATGTTTCAGGAAGGAAGTCGGTCTAGCTAGTCAAACAAATTTAAGTATGTATAGTCAAAACAAGGTCTAGACAGAAAAAGCAAGGCTTGAGCGGGGAAGTGTTTTTTTTTTGTTTTCAGTTCCTTTCAACTACTATCTGCTTACTGCGATGTTCTTTACCAAACTCAGATGGTATTCGCTTGCACGGAAACCAGTGCCAGATACTGCATTATAATATATATATATATATATATATAGATATTAATGCTGCACCAACTATGAATAGTTTATCCTCAGTAAAAAAAAAAAAAAAAAGTTGACCGATAGGAATAGCCAGATTTAGTTCAAAAGACCTGAAAATACAATTAAGAGCTTCAAAATAGTGGACTACTGCAAACTGCTTTTAATTATTATAATTAGTATAAAATGTACAAATGTTCTTTTATCAATAAGAGAAAAACACTAAACCAAAGTGTTCGTTCCTCTGTAATCGATTTGAAAGAAATAAGATGAAGTAAGATGTAAAGTCGTATCAGATATAACCAGACATCCATTAGCAGACAGGGCACTGGTGGTACATCTGTGTGTGCATGCAATCGTCTCTTGCAAGTGGATTTGGGTCTAGTTTGAGCCTGCGTCCCGTGTAAGAATGTGCATGCAAGTAAAAAACAGTTAACACAGACATATTTTAAGAGGATTTTGAGCTTCGTGACACCTGAAAAGAGGGGGTTAAAAATACTCTTTTGGCCTTTTGTGCTGCATTTATCTGCCACTATATTCGCTCCATGCAAACAAACTGATCTGCTGTGCCACTTCTGGAGGAGTAAATCTGAGCATAGAAGACTGTGCAGCTGTGTTTCAGTGTGCCAGTGGGGGGTGGGGGGGGGGCAATCTTCACACCAATCACAACAACGGAGCGTCGTCACGGCCGGGTTAGCCCGTGGCAGCTAGCTCGCAGCTAACTCAGCTCAGCTCAGAGGAGAGCTGGCTGCCGCCTGTTGTTATGATAATGTTATTAGACGACACAGGAAGGGAAAGCGGACCAAACGACAACAGCAACGACAGGACAGGTGCACTGGCAACCGCGAGGAGGAGGAGGAGGAGGAGGAGGAGGGGGGGGGGGTTTCACTTCGTAAGGGTAGTGTGTGCAGAAAAAGCCCCCCCTCCCTCCCCCTCCCTCCCAAAACCTCATCGATTTTGAACAATAATCGCTTTCAGGGTGATGTGATGAAGCCCTCTGCTTACCTCTGGTCAGATCCAGCGGTACGTTTTCTTCGCCGCTGTCATTCCGACCTGTTAAAAACACACAACGCGGACACGGTGAGGGGTCACTGCGGGGTCAAAACGTGCGTGAGAAGTTCTAGTTTTGCGTTATGCCACATTTACGGGTGCCACCGGGTCGAGTTTTTCTCGCTTACCTCGCATCCGAAGACTCCGGATAGGACGGCCGCGGAAGCTGGCCGCCATGTTTCCAGGAACATACACAACACCGGAAACTTCGTGGATTCTCGCGAGAATAGCAGACAAACGAGAGGAGGAGGGGGAGGAGGAGGGGGGTGTCGTGACACAGCTGCAGCGAGACCTCCCACAGACCTGAGATCAGCTGGATCCTCCTTAATCCCTCACTAATCTCATCAGGGATGACAAACTAAATCTGACCTGGCGACAGTGTTATAGCATGTGAAGAGGGAGCTGTTTAAGATGAACTGTTTTAGTAAATAAATAGAGGTCAAAGTGAGGTTGTAAATTAACTTCACCACACCCAAACATCAATTTATGGATCTTTATTGTTGATTTAAAAAAAAAAAAAGTAAGTAAGTTTAACAGTAAATGTATGCATCAACAAGGAATAAATCATGTGCAAGCTGCTAAATCAATCTGTTCAAACAAACGCTGACGATTTCCCCCCCCCAAGCAAATAATAATAAACAGCATTTCTCCATGGACAAATTACAAATGATTACATAAAAAAAGACACCAATGCACAGTTATAAAGCTCTGCTAATTCTAATAACACACAGTGGTAATTACAACAGGTTGCGATATAATATTTAATATGATGTATTAATCCCAAAACATGCAATGCATCTATTAATGGATCTTTATTAACCATGCTCTCTGAAGATTTATCTACAAAGTTCAAACACTGCATGCTGATGTATGCCATTAAAATGATGCTGATCTGTGCTCTTCACATTGTCGCAGTTGTAGATTAGTCGATTTCATAGATGCAGGCTGTAGAAAAAGTGTTAAAGTTGTTTTACAGTGAATATATAAATAAAAAAAATAAAATCATGATCCTTTATTTAAGTAAAAGTAGTAGTAACTTACTATGTTTAATCTCTATGTGCACAGTAACTATAGTTGTCAAATAAAATGTAGTGTAATAAAAAGTCCAATATATACCTCCCTCAAGTACTTTACATAACTGTTTATATTGTATTTTAAATTGAAAACCAGAACATACCTTCTCTGATGTCGTCATAAATATCACACCTATGTAAAATGATAATCAAATCAATAAGTTACTGTCATACAGATCATACTGTGCAGCAGCTGGATGTCATTGCCTACGTGTAGTAAGTTAAAGTACAAAACAAATCACAGTTTGAGACACAATATGCAGGTGGAAGTAATCTGACATATATATCATGATATTGTTATACCCGTCAAAAGGAAGTTGAGGAATGTGGGAATCGACATCATCATAAACATCATCTGTGGGCAGAGAGACAGTAAATGTTTAGTGGTTTGTATGTGTCATTAATGTGCCAGAAGTATATGGAGAAATTCTGTCATGTTTACCTTCATCTGGGTTTGGAGAATCTCTGATGGGAAAAGAGAGAAAGCATTATAAAGATACAATGTGTTGGCTTAAAGCAGACTTGAACACATGCAAAAAAAAAAAGAGTCCAAGAGGCTTTTTTTGCTTGTCTGACCATGATACACTTGTGTACCAATTTTCCTACATGTTGCTCGTACGTGTCTTGGGGGCTGATTCTGGGGCGTGTGACCAAAAGAATACTTCAATTTTCGCTACCACTGAATTTTGTTGCGGCCTCCAAAAATGCAATTTATTTGGTATCAAAATAATAATAATAATAGCCCAAGCAGTTTCAATAGGGCCCTAATAATCTCATTCACCACTAGGTGTCACCCATACATGATCTACATTTGTTAAACAGTAGGAGTGGAGTGGAAAATTACTTCTTTGCTATTTGAAATAGTAACACTTTTTCTGTGTACACTTTAATTTTACACTTGATTCCATCAAAGAAACTGACTTTCAGTTTATAGTTAAACACCTCTATTGTCTCTCATATCACTGTGATGTGATGAGCTTATTTTAACTCAAAACTGTTGCATTGAAAGTTTAAGTAACTTTTTATAGATTAAAAAAGATTCTTGCAACTTTAGTAGCTTTAACTTGTAATTTTATGTGACACTTACTAGTTCAAGTTACGACTGAAGTTACAGAAATATTACTGATTATGGTAAATACGTATTTGTATTTTGTTTTTACAGTTTAACTTAGAAAATGCAGTTAGTCTGACTTAAAATATTCCAGTTTTTCGGTTTCAGCAAGTTAAATTAACTTATATGGTTTTGCAGTGTATCACTAGCATCTACTTTAAATACTCCCACTGTGATTTGTGCAGTAAAAAATGCCCGAATCTGACCCATCCACTCAAAACAAAAAAAGTACAACCTTGTGTGCGGATTATCCACATCATCATAAACATTCTCCTCCTCCTCGGCTGTTTCAAAAACAAGAAAGGAAAAATTAGGACTAAGTAGAGAGCTCATTGTTGTCATATTTAAACAGATTAAATTACACAAAAAGCAGCACAAACAGCTTACCATTCTGCACTATGAGCCCGCTGAAAAAGGAGAGAAACCATCAAATCAGCAAGAGATCATAATATGTGAGATGGAAGAACTTATCTCAGATTTTTTTTTTTTATTCTGTATTTTAGAGGCGTTCTGCACCTGAAACCCTCAGCTGGTGCCCCAAAGCTGTCATAAATGTCTGGCTCTGCATCAGACGGGTGCCTCTCTGGCTCCTCCTCCTCCTCCTTCTCCTCTTTTATATCATCATTGCTTACATGGACGGGCTTCACATAGTCATCTGAAAGGACACAAGCGTCAGCACAGATCACTGTATTATGTGAGCGTTCAGCAGCTACCTGTTGTAAATGTTAATGTCCCAGGATGCCAGTTTTATTTCTGTTGGGGACGTAAAATAACCTTTAATTTTAGATGTTGAGGTATTTCTATTTAACAAATGCAGGTTGTTAAGATGTTTGTGTGTTTTATGTAAAGTTACCATGTTGACCTCTTGACCTTTTTCTGTGTTGTGGCTTTCTTTTTAATTAACTCTGTGAGAGACCCCTTTATATTAACTGACATTTAATAATTTATTGTACACTTAATTTCACCTGATATAAAAATAATATTACTTATAATTAAACCACGTTCAAAATGTAAACTTGTGATAGCTTCCAGCTTTTATAACGCGTCTTAACATTTAAGAGATTTGGTTGAGAAGAATAAAACCCTGATGCTCTTCTTGCCTGTCCCCCGTCCACGTTTTAAAACCTCTTTTTAATGTCTGTTAGCAACGTACAGAAATCCTTCGTTTCCCTGGTCGGCCATTGTCCCTCTGCGTCACTGGTACTGTGGATGACCCCCACCATCTCTCCTTGAGTCAGAGACAACTCTGATTTTCCTCCTTTAAATTCAACAACTGTCTTCTCCTTCTTGATGTGAACATGTCCTTTAATCTAGTTGAGGATAAGGAGATGTCAGTTATGTCTGTTCACATTATTTTTTTTTAATGTGGCCCATATCAGATTCCAGTGTGAACAGGTCACAGGCCTGAAGTGACACGCATGACAAATGTCAGTCTAGAGTGACGTTAAAGTTCTGATATGTCTGTTCACACTGAGGTCAGATTGCAAAGAGTCAGACCTGAATCTGATTTGCACCACATATGAAAGTGGACCACATCAGAATGAAAAAGATGCGTGCTGTTCACACTGAATTGAGTCATGTATGGGCATATTTTTGATCACTTTGGCTTGCAATGTGATTTTTCTGCTTTTACCTTGAACAACTTCTTTGCTTCTTGGATCGTCTTCTCTTTGGTTTTCTGTATTTTCAGTTGTTTTTTCATTTCTTTCTTCTCTTTCTTAGATAGCATTTCTTTCCCTTTCATCTCCTCCGTGTTGATGGCTCCCTTTGGCTCCTGTTTATCACATCAAACTTATATTAAAGGCATAATTTTGGTAGCAAGTACAAACTTTACTCAGCCCAGCACTTACTGCCTGTTTCTCCTCTGTGAGTTTGTTGTGGTTTGTGTCCCCTTTCCCGCTCTTACTTTCTTGATTTTCTTTAGATTTCTCCCTTTTGAGAGATAAAAACCGATATAGTTTATATATACAAAACAATATTAGCTTTATTCCTGCCTGACTCTTACCATCTATCATCAAGGTTCTGGTACATGTCTTTAGTCAAATCTGCCTGTAGAGACAAACGAGATCAAACTGATGAAAACTAGCAGTCAACATGAATACTATTTCCTTACTGCACCTTGGGTTTCTACAGCAATCTAATAATGGCAGGATGAATGAATTACCTCTCTCCTCTTTGAAGGATGTTCTGTGAAGACAATGCAACAAGACATTCAGAAATCTTGCCCCGATTTTATTTGCTTGTGTGACCGATAAAAATAATGGTAGTTTAATTTAGTAAAATTATATAAAATGAGGCACAACCTTCACTGGGGAGTGGTGGTGGGTTCATGATGCCGACATCATCGTAGGGCTCATCTTCATCCATTTGTTGAAGCCTTGATTTTGGTCAGAAAGAGATCAATTCAAACATGTTATGGACAGTCTGGGATAGACTTTGTCTTTGCTGCTGTGCAGTGGTTTCCAACCTTTTTCCCATTTTCTATCATTAAATCAACTGAATTAGTGACATATTGTATGGATATTTCATATTAATGCATACCAATAACAGCACAGATAGTAACTGCAGGAAGTTTGTGGAAAATAAGCAATTTGGATGAATTTTATTGCGGCAGAGATTAGTTTTCCTGATATTTTTTAGAAACTTTTTCTACAATTCTCTCTCTTTATCATGTATAATACATTTTAATAACTCATATATACGTAATAGGCTTCTTTTTGACAAATTAAATGTTTTAAGTGGCCATTATTTTATTACTATTCAAAATGGTGATACATTTTTATTTGTCTAAGATACAGACAGTATGCAGAAGACTAACTTGTATACCATTGGACCAAAGGGCATTGTTGAGATCAGTGAGGATCAGACAAATAGCTTCCTGTGAGTAGCATCAGTGCTGCAACTGTGAATCTTCAGTAGATCAGTTTAATGATTACAACCAAGGCCTTCACATATACAGCCAGTGTATTCCTCCATGTCTCATTATGTTAGCAATAAGTTACCTGTGTTATAATTTGCTACAATACAGCAGTTCTACAATATGAACACTTACGAAGCAGCTGCATGGTTGGATGATTGGCACGGGCGTGGAGTTGGAGGGGTGGGTGGATGAGCAGGACGCGGTGTCATCCCCCTTAGTGCTGTCACATAAAAATCTTTGATTTAACTCAGTCAGCTACAGGCTACATGTTTTAAAAACATTATTGTAGTATTTGAAGAAACAATAAACAGATGTGTGAATTATCATTGTCTTAGAAAAACTGTTTCTCACCATCATTCAAAAACTTTATATTCCTTCTGAACTGATCAACGTCAACACCTGGAGGCCTGTTTGGCTTCTGGGGAGGCTTTCCCAGAGCAGGCACATCAGGAAGGCTCCTTTTGGCTTTACTCTGGCTTCCCCTTGTTCTGCTAGGTTTCGGCCTATCTGGAAGTCTGGGGGACTTAGTGCCTGTGATGCTTTCCACACCATATTCACCATCAGTGAAACTTTGCTCTTTGGTAACATTGCTTTGCTGTGACAGAGACAGTTTGGAGTGCTGGTGCACTCTGGATAAAGAGGACACATTGGATTCCTGGGTTTTTGATTTCATAATGGTTGTAGACTCCAGTCTTCTATTGTTTGTCCATACTGACTTGGTTGAAGTAAGAGAGACGCTGGTGTTGCTGTAGACACTACTATTGGTTTTCACTGTAGATTTCATCGTTACGTTTTTGGATTGAGAATGCACAGAGGATCCAGAGAAGTCCCTGTGTGTCTGTGTTTTAGTAGTTTTGAATGATGACGGTGGCTTTGCATATTGGGAGGCTGGGAGAGTAGCATCGGATCTTTTGTCAAAGACAGGCTGAGTGGTTGTGTTGGCAGAACCTGATAGTTGCTCCTCAAAGGCAGCTATTCTTTGTTGAACAGAGGATACAGCGCACAGCTTTTGTCGGACTGCTAATTTATAGGAAGCATCTGGCAAAGAGCTGCATCTTGTGCTGAACTGAGCCATTAGTCCCCAAGTGTATGACTATTCCTATATAGGAAAATGAAAGAGTTTCTTTAGTCTAGAAAGTCTCTGTCTTCACTTTTTAATGTTGCTGTATATTAGTGAAGCAAACAGTATAAATAATATTACATCCAGGAAGCAAAAAAAATAAAACTATGAGGGAAGATTTAAAGAAGAGCATCAATTTCTTGAAAAAATTAAGAGGAACCACTCACCTGATCTTTGATTCTGGTATGTAAGTGCTGTGTAAGTGAGCGTGTGTGGCCAGAGGCTGCGTTATACAGTTGTGATACCAAAAAAAAAAAGCAATGCTCCACCTATAAAGGAAGTATTGGACTCTGAGAGAACTGAGTGAAAAAAGGCAAGTGCCCTCTGTTCAGTGTGATTCAAAATCTGTAGCCATAAGAAAGACAAAATGTGCACAAGACACATTTTGAAAATGAATAATTCAATAGTTTAATATGACATAAACACTGACAGTTGCTGGGAGTTTGTTTGTGCATGCCTCTTGAAAATATACAAACCTTTGGCACTCAGTGAGAGCAACCGATCATCGTTAAAGATGTACTGTGACAGGAATGTTAAGCTCCAAATATAAAGAATAAAAATTACATAATATAAAATGATAAACTAAATAACTAAAACCCTGTTTCTTGTTTGCAATACAAAATATACATGCATAGAGGTACCATTACTGATTCCATACAGCAATTCTGTCCCAAGAGGAGGAAACTGAACATCAGCACACAAGTAGTTGTTTTACAGCTGTAATTTATTGAGAAATTAAAAAGACAAGATGGCATATAGTGTATATTTGCATATTTGTTTATCTTCTCTCATACATTTCATGTTCTTTTTTGTGCTTTTTGACTATGGAGGGTCCTTATGTCAATCAACACTCATGCCACTTAATGAAACCATGTACGGGCTGTCAACAATGCCCTGATAAACATATTGCACCAAAGGGATAAACTTAAACGCAAGTCTGCAGGTTGGTGGAGTAGCGACAAACATTTACAGTCATGCACTTGAGTTTATAATCCAGAAATAGTTTTTTTTTTTTTTAATCAGTGACATCTTGTGACAAGTTGTTGTGTGTAGGAAGAAACATCAAGGTGTTAAAATTAATTTTGCACCATTGCAAGTTCTTATCTGACAGGAAGGGACTGTGTCATGACAAAGAAATTGTAATTAGCAACTGGGACAACAATATTCATGTTGTTGGTATATTAGGTCATGCCAGAGTCCGGGGTTCAATACAACCTTCTACAATTAATACAAACTCCAAATCTAAGAGTTGAAACCCATGTGCCAGCATCGACATAAAGAAAAATCTTTATTTCAATCTCTACACACAGAGAAGTAAAAAGTTATATATATATATTCAAAGTCCCAACAGTCAAGCTTTCTTCTTTTTAAACTCTTCTCTTAATCGGGACTCTTTCACATCAGCGTGGCTGCAGATATGAGAGCATCAATGTCCTGTATGGCTTTGGATGTCTTTCGAAGAGCGTCAGCGATGCAGTTCTCAGTCACTGCCTCTTGAGTCACCTCTTCTGCAGAACTACCCTCCGGTTCTGCACATCGTCTCTCACTCCTTAGCAGGTGGTTGTTCTCCAGCAGAACTGGGCACAGGATGTTAAAGAGCATGCACCGTCTTCCTCAGCATTATTTATGTACAATGACAGTGCATGTGACCAAATATAACACTCACAGTATATTAATGTATACAGCCGCTTATTGCTGTCATCTTAATGTTAAAGGATACAGTTGAATCTTTTTATCTTCTCCAATTCTGCAGCTACCAGATCTGACCTAAATTGAATATAAAAGGTGGAAAGAAACATTATATACAAGCTGTTAACACATTACTTTCAGTAATAGAATACCAAAGGAGTGACCAAATATAACTCACCGACTTTCTGCTGTCCGCATGACATACATATGCTGCTCAACAGATACAGGATTGGACAGATTTTCTTCAATCTTTGCTGCTTTAGAAAATTGTTGGCCCTGGAAATCAAATCATAAGTTAGAAGCTTGAATACCGTAGACAACAGTTGTGGTAATATTTGCAGGGACTACTTTTTCGACCTCTTGCAAGCAGCTAGGTGTGACAGGGAGCTTCAGTGATTGCTTGGCCTCATTGTAGCACGTGAGGATCCTGTAAAACAGAGATGTGATAGTCAGGGACTGATAAAATAAAGTAGGACTCAGACTGTGATGAAGCAGTGACTTACCTGCTTGCACGACTAACAATAGAGCGTATAGAGTACAGCTGTCCGGGTACATCCGGTGGAAGGTTGTTCAGATGGTAAGTTACCTCTTTCACCTATGAGATAGACACAATAATCATAGGATAATTACATACATATATATATATATATATATATATATAAAAATAATAATAGGAAATTTACCCGCCCTGACAGGAGCTCAGGTTTGTGATGGGTGAAATAAGTGTTGAGGACACCGTTAGACCGGATGACAGATCCATCTCCCGGTGAAACCTCTACAACTGAGACAGCCCCGCTCAGTATCCTAAACAGGAAACACACAGGTAAACACAGTTACACTACAGTACACTAAAGGTTATACATATGTATGTGTATATATATATATATATATATATATATATATATATGGCAGCAAACAATTATTTTCTATGTAAAAATATAGTGAACATCACACTCATTTTGACTGTGTTGCTATCACAGCTTCTCTGTGCTCTGTTCAGAAAGCTGGAAAGGCCATGCATGCATGTTAGTGCATGTGAGTCCCTTTATTTCCAGCTGAGAAACCTTGACTTAAGGATTTATTTTGACCAAGCCAGAATTGGTGACTGTTGGAACAGTGGAAAAACTAACAAAGACAGTTTTTGTGAGTTTTATTTTGTTCCTGTTCTCATTTAATAAAGTTATGATGTTACAATGCTATGTGAGGTAAAATTGCTGTTTTTGTTTATGGAGTCTGGTGGCAAGCGCAATATTATGGCTGCTTCTGGTTAAACAAAAAGGCCTATCTCTGCAGGGATCCTCTCCATAATGTTTATAGACACTCTCAATCTCAGTCTGTCAGTGGCTTTAGTGGATGTGCTTTGACCGGCCCATTTGTTGCCGCTGCCATTACAGCCTGTTTCATGAATATTTTAATATATCAATAGTCAATTAAGGGTTTATTTAGACCAAACCAACTTGTGTAATTGTTGGAAAGACTGTGGAGGAACTAACAAAGACTGTGAGTATTATTTTGTTTAAAGTGTGTTTTATGATTATTTGCCAGGTAAAATTACTGGTTTTATCAATGGAGACTAGTCAGCCATAGTGCCCATTGTTTTTGGACTAAAATGCTGGTGCTCTAGTGCAACATCTAGTGGCAAGTGAATTTCATATATATAACCTTTACAAAGGTTAAGGCAGACAGGAAATGTGTCCTTTTCTTGTGAAATATCAATTTTTTTTTTTTATTTTGAGCATTAAATTTAAACAACCTTTGATGTTTCAATGTCCTTTTTAACCTTGGAAACCTGCAGACCTACCTGTAGGTGACTCCGTGACACCACATCACTTTTACCAGCTCTGTTGGAAGATCTTGGTCTGCATATTCTTTTTTATCCAGGGGGTCTTTAACCTTCCACCTAAAATACACGAGTAAGGAAGCTTAAATCAGTCAATGAACATTGTTAAATTGTGCTCCACATTATTCACTCGAGTCAACTGATCATTCAACCTGTGCCAGTGAGGCGATGGACATGTGAGAAACAGCGCCTGAGGAAGGTGAGACTTTCGTTCTTCAACGGATATGTCTGACACGTTTATTCTCTTGTATGCCTGGGTGAGATCGCTGTCTTCCTCTGCGCTGACATTTTCCGGTTTAGAGAGACGAGCCGTCCAGAGATGGTGAGCCAAGGACAGAGGGTAGCGCCAGAAGGGGGCGACAGCGCAGCAGGAGTGATGCTGGACCACTGCAGTGGATTGGTACATCTCCTCTGGCTGGGAAGGGAAGAGAGAGGAAGTAAAACATTTAATCAAAGCTGTGATATAAGCACAGTAATATTATTAAGAAGCATTACCTTTGACTGAGCAGCGCTGGTAATCCGAGGCGAGCAAGATCTTGATCTAACAGACTCATTCCTTCTGCTTCCTCTCCCCTGATGAACCTCTTTGGTCTCCTCATTGGTGGTCTGACAGATCAGATTGCTGTCAGAGTCTCTGCTGAGCCCCTGCAGGCTGTGGCGCTGATTCAGAGTCCGACTGAGGCTGCACGTGAACTCGACGGAGAATTCTTCACCCGAGGGCGACAGCATCAACACGGCTCGCCCCTCCTCAGACCTGATGAGGGTCTCGCCTCCTGGTCCGAGCTCAGCATCACCAGAAGACCACTCAGGCCACTGCACGTCTGAGTCAACGCTGAAAAAGGGCTGCAGGTGGAAATGCAAAAAAATGATAATAATAATCGTGATATCATTGCCAAAACATAATTAGAAGGACTGATAAGAGGCTGGGAAATATTTTTGGTACCGTCTTGTGGTCAGTGGGGATGAGTTCCTCTGGCAGATATGGTCGACTAGCATATTTATTCCTAAATGCCAACGCAGCCAGCATTAACTCCTGTAAAATGACATCATAAGTTTGAATATGAATGCACTTTGAATGCAGAGGACAACCAAACTGTGTACATTTATCAGAACAAACAACAGTCTTTAGGGAGTGGTGGACTACAGCTAAATACATTTACTCAAGTCCTGTACTTAAAGGAAACATATCCTCCTAAATGTTACACACTGGACCTTTAAGTCCAATTATTAAGTACTTTTACTTCCATTTTTATTTTAGGCTATAATTTGGAGGCAAATATTGTATTTTTTATTCTGCTATATATATTTCATAACTTTAGTTACAAGAGTTATAGTCAGATGCTTTATACAAAACATAATTAACTAACTAATAATGATAGATTGTTATAGATTAAGCAACCCTGCAGTATATAAAGTAGCCCCTTCTTTACCAGCTACATCAGTAATGATGCTTACACATTAATGCATCCCTAATTATAATCAAGTAACAAGATACATTTTTAAATATTTTCTGCATAAAGAATACTTTTACTTTATGCATATTAAGTATATTTTGATGCTGATATAGTTGTAGCCTGTCTTTACAGAGTTTTTAACTGGCTGTGAAACAGTACCGCTTGTGTCCACAGGGGTCGCCAGAATCAACACACACCGGTCCACCACTGACTGTAGGCCCAGTTTGAGCCTTTTTAAAATACACAGGAGGCTCAAAGCGGTCGTAAAGAAACTTCTATATTTAATATTGACACCTTATAAGTGCTGATGG